GTCTTCTCTGCAAAACTGTTTTACAGCTGGTCAGCCCCCAGCCTGTGCTGGTGCCTGGGGTTGTTCCTCCCCCAGGACAGGACTTAGCACTTCCCACTGTTGAACTTCATGAGGTTCATATCATTCAATTTCACCAGCCTGTAGAAGTCTGTCTAGTGGCAGCATGACCCTCTGGTGTATCAGCTGCTCCTTCCTGTTTTGTGTCAACTGCAGACTTGCTGAGGGGCCACTCTGCCCCATCATCCAGATCATTAATAACTATACTGAACCAGACTGGACTCAGTATTGACCCATGGAGTTCATAGTTAGATACTGGCCTTCAGCTAGAGTTTATGGCTATGATCACCACCTTCTGGGCCTGGCCATCCAACCAGTTTTCAATATACCTCGCTGTCTGCTCACCAAGTCCATGCTTCATCAGTTTCTCTATGATGATTAGATAGGAGACAGTGTCAAAAGACAAGATGCACTGCTTTCCCCTCAGTCGCAAAGGCAGTAATTTCATTGTAGAAGGCTGTGTGGTCAGGCATGACTTCCTCTTTGTAAATCCGTGCTCACTCTTAACTGGTAACCTCTTGTTCTTCATGTGGCTGGAGGAAGTTGTTTCCAGATTTGTTCCATCACCTTCCCAGTGGTCAAAATGATAGCTCAAAGATTATCAGGAGCCTTGACATTTCATGAATGGGTAATTTGTCATCTTATTGTGGGTAGTGGACAAACTGAGCAAATACAAGCAAAAGCGGTATCACTGTAGGAGTGAGAATTCCAAAATTAAATGGCACAACTCTCTTTTTTGATAGAATCTGGGATGTAATTGAATCTCTGGCAAAGGAAGGTGCCCTCTTTAATTTGAAAACCTCCTGTCTCTACGTTATAAACTCAGTAGAAACACTCTAATGAAATGCTGTTATGTTTGTTACTTGTTTGGCTAATGCGTCTGTAGAGTACAATGTATGCCTCTAAGGAACGCATGTGGTAGTTTCTGTGCCTGTGCATGGGGTCTGCTGTACTTAGAGCAGGGATATGGCTGCATCTGTTTCTTCTGTCATAGGAGTGTGTATGTAATGTACACGTATGTACATATATGTTTATTTAAAAATATAGCTTTAAAAAGGATAAGGTTGTGTTTTACATGCACATATATATAAAAAAACGCTACCCATCATATATATTTCTAAAAGTATATCCTGTCTTTCTTAAAAAGGGGAAAATCCACTGTATTAGTCTTTCTCAGCCTTTATGCTTTTTCTAAAGAAAGAAGCATAACTTTCTTTGTTACCTTTGTCAGATGCAGCTATGCTAGGAGGGTTGTCAGGGCCATTCTATTACCACTTTTGGTGCTGTGTGTATACTCAAGTTACATACTGGTTGTACAGCCTAGTGCTATGTGCTGCTTACACATTCTTTCCAAGCACATGGACTTAACCCACATCACATACACCTTTGGAGTTGTAGCCAATAATTTTTGCGTCCTTTAAGTTTAGCTAAAACTTAAAAAAAAAAGTCTTTTTATGCTAATAAAACCACTGCAGCACTTGGCTCATGTTTATGAAGTTATTTTTAATTGTGAAGAAAATGAGAACTATTTTTTGTATCCTTTTCTGGCAGATACAGCACATGTCACTTAGATTCTGTGTTCACAGTACTTATACAGCCAGCCTTGGGTGAACATAATGGAAGGACAGGCAGCAATCTAGGATGACAGGAATTCAAGAAGACAGTGAAAATTAAAGGCCTGGGTTTCTGACAGGCATCTTCTGAATCTTGCTTGAAGTAATATGTTACTGCTTCTGAAAGAGATGGTAACCAACTCTTAGTAACTTCCTTTGCTCTACCTAGAGACTTCCATTTCCATTTCTGCAGAGTAGCAGAACACTGGTCATAGAGTCATAAAACAGCCCAGGTTGGAAGTGACCTTGAGACATCATCTGGTCCAACCTTTTCTGGGAAAGGGAACCTAGGTGAGACTAGCACGCTGCCCAATCTCATCTTGAAAGCGTCCAGCACTGGGGGGACTCTGCCACCTCCCTGAAGAGATTGTTCTCAATCAGTCACTGGAACAATCTCTAACTGCATGGTGACTTCATAGTATGTACCTGCACCTTCAGTAGTGAATAAAGTGTGGAGGAGAGGTGGAAAGATGAGCAGGAGTTTCTTTCTGCTGCTCTGGTGGCAGGAGGCTGAATTGGACAGCTATGAGCAGTGTTGTCTGAAACTGCTGACATGCAGGTGCAACAGGGCCTCTGTCAGTGCCCTCAGAAACCCCTTCTCTTAAGGTAGCAAATTTTTCATTTCAGGCAACAAAATCATAGCCTATATGTTATCCTTATTTTTAAAAAACCTTCCACTGTTTTGTGTTTTAATTTTACGTGTAGTTTTGTTGTATTTGTCTTTTTTTGCCAATCTAGTATATTGAATGTCACCTTGGTTTTACACTGAGAGGGTTTATTATACCTATTTCCAGACAGATTTATATTTTTTTCCCTCAAGATCATAGAATCATCAAAGGCTCACCAATTAGTTTGACTTGGAACTTAACAGGTTGTCTAGTCCAAGCCCTGTGCAATGCGTGGGGGCATCTTCAACTACATCAGATTGGTCAGAGACTAGTCCAACCTGACTCTGAATGTCTCCAGGAATGGGGTTTCTACCCCTGTTCTGGGCAACCACACTCGTAATAAAAAAATTCCTGCTTATATGTAGCCTGATATGAAGGCTTCTATTATTTAAATAGCTGTTGTATAACTTACTATAATGAAAGAATAACTGATGCAAAACTTGCATTCACTATTTTACCAGTACACTAAACATTGTAGAAGGCTTTGTGTGGAATTTTGTGATCTTTGTTTTAACTGAGTTGCTGAAAGTGTAGTATTGCATTACTAGAGACTAAATCTGGTTTATACCTTTATTGGGGATTGATTTGCAATCAGATACTTGACATCTGTTGTTCCTGCCTGTCTAGTGTAGTGTCTGACTTTAATGATGCTTCTTGCTACACAGTCAGTTGCTCATTTTGCAACAAATTCTCTTTATATAAATCTTGTGTTTGGGATTTTACTTTATTTAATGTAAGAGAGTAACTATTACTTGTAGTTTAGTGGTAGATAGGAGTATCTTTTATTTACAAAAATACATTATATTATCCAAGTTGCTTATGTAAGTAGTATGTGTGCCTATGCATAACATTTACCTGTGATAGACTTGTTCTAGGATTATCTTAGAATACTTGCATCAAGTAAGATCGGATTTAAATTTTAATTTTCAAATCACAAGGTTGTTTCAGTATTTTGTTGTTGCCGTTATTTTTGGGTCATTAGTTTTCCAAGAACTATGCCAGCTGTAACATTGGGAGCACGTTACTGTTGATTTCCTTACGTTTAGGCACTTACATGTTTTATATTTGCCGATATTGATAACTCTAAATTATCTTTCTTCTATGTATGTATGTCTATATATGTGTATATATTATGGCTAATGTAAGTGTATTTATTTCTCTTTTACTGATCTCTTTTCATTTTTTTTAACTCTGGGATGCAGCAGTATAATTGTATTCAAGCAAAAACTTACCAACAGCATAGTGGGATAACAATAGTGTGCTTAGTTAACTGTATTTAAACTTACTAAAAAAAACCCTCCTCCATTGTTAATCACTTGATACGGACAGGATTGTTGTAGTGGTTGTTGAAAGAATTTGCCAAAACTAACAGGTGGGTAGATTTTTTAGTATCTCAGTAAGATGTGACTTTTGCATGAGCTGCTTTATTGCTGCCTCAAGATACTAGCTTGCACAGCTTTATGATCTGTTTTACAGCTTTATCTAAAAAAATGTGGAAGGTTGAAGTATTTCTGAGTTCCCAGCACTTGTTTCTGTGAATTAAATAAGTTTATTTTTTATTTTAAGAGTGCAGAACAGAAGCATGTATTGAAAACAGAACATATGCTAAAATGCTTTGCTTTTTTAGGTGTTGTTTGCTTACTGCCCTTTCTACCTTTTTTCTTGGTTTGGTTTTTTGTTGTTGTTGTTTTATTTTGAATGTTATCAGTGTACTGAATGATCACAAGAACTCACTCTTTCTTCTGCCCAAAACAAGGAGCAGGGAATTTATTTATTTAAAAAAAAAAAAAAAAGCAATAGCTGGAATCCCCATGAGTTAAAAACTCCAGAACTACTAGCACACCTTGCTTCAGTGCCCTTTCTTGTCCATAATATAGGATGGAAAATGTGTTTAATGTATAGGTATTAAGGAAGTTAAATGGAAAAAAAAAGGAAGTCTAAAAGTACTTGTTAGTAACAAACCTCTCATTAATTATTATAAGATTAATTGCAAGTTGATGCAGTAATAATTTTGTTTCTGTATGTAGCTTTAAATCACTGGCTGAATCACAGGGCTGAATTCAGACAACAGATTTATATTAGTACCTTATTAAATTTAATTTTAATCAATAATAAATTAACTTTTTTTTTCTCATCTTAAAAAGTTACCATATTAGTCTAACCAGAAACAACCTTTGGTTTCTTTAAGAAAATTTGGAATCTTGCTTTCCTGTTGATGCTCAGCAACTTTGGAGAAGAAAACACTTGGAAGGGTTACAGTTCTACAGATAAATTACTGTGTAAAAAGTGAACAACTAAATGTGTCACAAGGCAGTTGGAGTTTTTTTTTTTAAAAAAAAGCTCAATATGAAAAAAGTAACAGTGGTGCACTGAGCATCTACTACCCTATTTTCTCTGGAGTTGTCAAACTGGTGTGAACTGTATTTGTGTTGAGAACACACCTGTTCATAATGATACTAGAATTAAGAGATTGATACAAAAATTGGAGTACGGGAACGGAAATTCCTCTCCCTTTGCTTTGTATTGACTGTATAATTGTATTGTTGTAGCATGTGGAGTATTCCAGTTGCAAGGACATAATCAGCAACTATCTGGAGTACTACTATAAAAACAAATATTTACAAATCCTAATCCTCCCCCTTTTTTTTTTTTCTTCTTCAAGAACCACTACACCAGGAGAGACTAAACTTTTAGCTTCTGAAGTCTATGATATCCTTCAGTCTTCCAACATGTCAGACACGGACAATGTGAATGAGATGAATTATCGTCGACGGAAAGCCCAGTTTTTCCTGGGCAGCACAAATAAGCGTGCCAAGACAGTGGTTTTGCATATAGATGGCCTTGATGATTCGGTAAGGAAAACTTCAGCAGTTATGTAAATAAGGCATGCCATGTACTGAGCTGTGTTTTGCCCACAAAAATAATGTGTTCAGGATACTTGTGTGGCATTGTTGTCAGCAATTTCTGTGAATTGTATTTTGAATCACAAGAGGTGTATAAAATCTTGCATAAATTGAGCTTATTCAAAATATCTGAAGATGATGTTTTGTGGGAGTTTGCTTGATGGTTTTCTAATTACTCTAAAAAAACTCACCACTATTTCTACCTCTCCCAATTTTCTTTCCTTTTTCAAGAAAGAATGGAATAAATACGGTACCTCCAGCAGTGGTTATATTGGTATTTTGTGGTTATATTGATGTGGTAAAAAAAGTTTCCTTTTAGATAGGAGAGATTTTAGATAATTTTTTCAGATTATTATTCTTAATTTAGAAATGCTGGGTTTGTTTTTTTTTCTTCGAGCTGTTTTTGCTACATCTTTTCATTGTCTGTGAGATCTTTTCTACTGTAGTGACCAGAATGGCATCTGAGTTAATGAGGTCTCACTGAGTCTTTATGTAATGTCAGAATAACTTGTACGGATTTATCTACCATACCCCTGTAGATAACACCCCAGGGCCATGTTTGCCTTTTTACGGCTGCCAAACAGCATGTAGACTGTTTAAGCATGTTATCCACAAGTGCCCTCCGGACTCTGTATCTTCAGTTTTGTACCCATTTTAAATGATCAAACCTGATCCTTTGCTTTGTTGCTTTACATTTTGCCAAGTAAGCATGTCCACAGGCCCAGTTTATTAACAGCATACCCGTCGTACTGTTTTCATAAGACCATAGCTAATTCCTTTAGAAATAACATGCTGCTCTAGCTCACTTTATACAAAGTAAATATTTTTTACAGTTGTCCTTCCAGCATTTGCTCTCTAGAATGGCAGTGCTTTGTCAACACCATCAGCTATTGTATTCTGAAGTTTGTTTTAATTCAGTCCAATTGGTTGTCTCCTGCTAGGTTTGCATTGTTTTTAAGCTTGTGGTTCATTTGTTCACAGGTACCTCCAAGCATGAAATCTCATCCACTTCCACTTTGGAAATTTATATATTCTGGCTATAGTCTATGATTCTGTCTTAAGTGTTTCTTTATGTTCTTTAACAAGTGGAATTTCATGAGATTTCTGGAGTTTCTCTTTTAAATGCTGTGGCAAAAGTACTCTCAGAAAGTGTAAGATATTTAGATATTCAACTCCAGAGAGCAAAACTGTAGGCTTCTATAGTTGCTTAGAGCTCACCAGTATGTTTTGAAACTTGTTGTCGAGGAAAAGAAAAATCTGACTGTGCTGGCTGGAGATGGCTAGTGAACATAGCTCTGTACTTCATCAGATTATTGAAAAAATGTGATGCTCCAGGTGCCCACCCTGCAGGGATGTTTAATGTGATTTTAAATTTCCGGATAAGTTGGGACTAGGAGGATGAGAGATGTGAACGATAAAAGCAGCTTAGTTTCATTCAACAGTTTATTCCCTGCTTAAGCAAAGAATATTAGGTGGCACACAAGTGTTAAAAGGTATAAAGAAGCCCCTGTTAGGAATTATTGCAAATCCTATCAATGCTTGTGGATTTCAAAACCTCAAATAGTAGGTATTTATTATTTCAGGAAGGGAGGAGAAAGGTTGCCTTTTCAGTCTGGGGTCAGATGTTTTTATTTCAAGATCTAATTATCAAATTTGATTGTAAGCTTTTAAAAAAGTTAAAAATCAAGCAGTACATTTTAGTAGTATTTAGTAGGGTATGGTAATCAGTGTTCAGTTGTCTAGCAGGACTGCATGCTAGACTACAAGGTATGTGATAAATAACCTAAATTTCACCTGTCCTGCCCTGTGCCTATGCTTCAGGAGCACCATGCAGAAAGATGTCTTAGTGTGCATTGCTGGGCTCTGTGCATAGTTACTGTAGTTAGACGTTGTGAATGACATTTGTCTCACAAGGCTGCTGCCTGCCATGCTTCCAGCTTTTTATGGAGTCTCTATGGATCTTGGTAAGTTTTGTCTTTAAGAAGTGATTCATCAGTTATCACTGAAAGCCTCACTTTGAATTAAACTGAAGTACCTGTGACTTAACCTGCGATCTCAAGAGTAAAAAGGCAATTTTTTTTTTCACAAAATTTCTGTATACCCGTGTAAGTATCAATTATGGAGGCTAGGAAGCTGAATGTGTTTCTTCTTGTGTCTGAAAGTAGTTTTGACTTTTCAGTTTTGCATCAAAAATTTGCTGTGTAGCCTATCCAGCAATGTTATTTTTTAACAGTCGTAAATGTTAATTATTTCAATACATAAACTTATACACATGAATTGTTTCAGTATATATGTAAACTGCCAAAAAAACCCCAAACCTCAAAGTGCTTCAGTTTGCTCTTCTAGATATTAAAAGATGTTAATGTACTTGTCATGCTTAAAACTGTCCCAAGTACTGACCATTCATTATTTGTTAAACTAATATAAATATGCTTTGAAATAGCTTATTATTTAAAACCTTGTAGAAACTTAAAAGTTAAATACATCATTATTTTGAACTGTGTGAGTCTCTCAGTTTATTTCTGGTACAGTGCATCTTTTCTTTTTTCCTCTTCTGTGCTAGCAGTCTCTCCAAGTATATTTTAATCCTTTTTGTTGCAACCATCTTGTGCAAATATTAAAAGGGAAAAAAGCCAAACATTTTAAGATTATGTTGAACAGATGCAACTAGTACAGGTCAATGTAATGTTACAGCACACTAGGTGATGTCACTTGCTTTAAACATAGCATTTTGTGGGTCATCAACTAAGTATTTTTCCCTTTGAAATAAGACTTGAGCTTGTGCTGTGCAGTGATGTCTGTGAGCTGCCACAGATGAAGCAGCAGAAAGATACAACAGCTGCTTTGATGCATTCAGTCAGTATGGAGCCAAGGTGTCTGATAAATAGCAACTTAAACACTAACTACTCATCAATGAGCACTTCAGTCAATCAGAACTTAACCAGAGGGGACTGTTTAGCTGATCATACGGAGAAAAACATTCTTTGCTTTTCAGCACTTTTCTCTAATTATTTACAGTTGATTCCATCCTTCTTTGACTTTTAAAGTGTAAGCATTTTTTTTCTTTTGTGGCAAGGGAGTCTAATATTTGTGCACTGAAATGTAAGTTGCATTTTTTTCTTTTACAACCACCTGCCCTCAGACATACGGGAATTCTTTAACAGTTTTTAGCATTTTCATGTGGTGTATTACGCAAGTACTTTATTTTGGGGTGGATTTTTTGTTTGTTTTTCAGTCTCGAAGGAATCTTTGTGAAGAAGCCTTGTTGAAAATTAAAGGTGTTATTAGTTTTACCTTTCAAATGGCTGTTCAAAGGTGTGTGGTCCGAATTCGCTCAGACTTAAAAGCAGAGGTAAGTGCTCCATAACCCTCCATATCGTTACAATATTGTGTTCTTTGACACTAAACTCTTGATTTTTCCTTTGTACTTGTAGGCATTGGCAACAGCAATAGCGTCCACCAAAGTTATGAAGGCACAGCAAGTTGTGAAAAGTGAAAGTGGTGAGGAGGTAAGATATGTATATTTCTAAATACTGATTGCTCTAGTTTGGCTGTCTCCTCAACACCAGCACCTCTATGCCCGTAACATGTGATGCCAGGCAAATTTTTCTAAGTGAGAGTGCTACATTACAATACAAGGAGAATAAAGGGTGTCCTGTCAGGACAGGCATCCACAGAACAGTGTTACAGAACTTACTGTTCAGAAGGACAAATATACTGTAATTTGTTTAATTTTTTTTTTTGCCTGCAGTTGCTGAAGTGTTTAGATTTCCCAACTGCACTAAAAAGGCTGTCTTTATTTATATGATATTTTATCTTCCATGTTAAGTCAAAGTTTCCTTGTGTGTCTTCTAAGTGTAGTAGATTCCAGATACATAGTAGGTTGCATTTATATTCTTGCTTTATCGGGGGTGAGGAAGAGTCTCTCAGCATGGATGCCTGTAATCCTGAATGTGTATATATGGGTAACTTCCAGTCATGTTTTTTTTAAGATCCAACATCTGACATAATTTAATGTTGTGTTTTATCAGATGCTGGTTCCATTCCAAGATACTCCGGTGGAAGTAGAGCAGAATACAGATCTACCTGAATACTTACCAGAAGATGAAAGCCCGACTAAGGAACAGGACAAAGCAGTGTCTCGTGTTGGGTCACACCCAGAAGGTGCAGCAAGCTGGCTCAGCACAGCAGCAAACTTTCTATCAAGATCTTTCTACTGGTGACTTGTATGTGGTGTTAAAAGACTGTGTGAATGAACCAACAAGGGGGCCAGTTTTCCATAGGTGTGGTGAACTGCCAAGTGCAATTTGCAATAAATCATCACAAAAATTTTAGATTGAGCAAATGTATGCTGCATTTTACATTTTATTGGACATACAGCCTGATAGGACAGAGGCCTCCAATCAACTTGTTCTTTCATTTGTTTGTCATGTGGATTTTATTGCTTCACTTTTTAAAAATGGGTCCACTCTTATATATACCAAATGTTTATGCATATAGAGCTTTAAGTTTGACTTCACATGAAACACATGATTGGGAAAGTCTATTTAACTTGAGTCTCAGGGCCTCTGTGGAAGAAAAATTATTAATGGCTCTAGTTGTGCATTGAATAAAATGCCCTTTTTACTTTTACATCCCTTTGGACTAACGTTATTCAGTTTTCTAGATTTTTGACTTCAGAGAAAAATACAATCTGTGTCTCTTTTTGCCTTTCTTTTTGCCAACCCTGCTCACAGCATGAGCACAACGTTTCCCTTTTGCTCTTAAACTAGAACCACTACAGACTTGAAATTTACTAACCTTTTATGTTTGATTTTTCTTTTTTTTTTTTTTTTTTCCCCAGCTTGCCCTTAACCATTGGAGTGCTTGAGATAAAGAAATAAGGGATTGGTTTAAAAAAAATATGTATACATACATTGTACAGAAAATAAACTAGAACATATTTGTAATGATGGGTGTGACTGACTCGTGTATATAACTAATTAATGCCACTGACTGCTGTTTAGGCTAGCTAGGAGGACTGTAGCAAAACAAGCTGTGGTCTAAGGTAGCAATGACCCATTGCAGTTTCGTCTGCAGAGAAAAGAGGGATGTAGACGTTATTTGGTTAAGAAATAGTGTTCACTGTTAGCAAATATATGATGGTAACTGCAACTTAGTGAACTTGAAGAATAATGCAGAACTGAATGCCTCTTTTGCCACAGTGCCACATAAAGTTTGACCTTAACTTTTTTATTTTTTTACCTAACAAATCTGATATGTAATTACTGCTCCCTCCTAATGTCTCTCATGAGACTCCTGTGAAGGTACGTCAGCTTGGATAGGCTTAAAATCATATGCAAACAATTGGCTTTACCTTGTTCTTTACAGACAGTGTAGGTTTAAAGATGTCCTGGTAATTTCTGTGACCAGAAATTGTAATAAAAGCAAAACTTCCATAGGTAGAGAATAAGACATATCTGAGCTGTTAGTAAGAACTGTGTGCCTGAGAGGATTGCAGACACAGTGCTCGAAAACTGCAGTGCCACTGCTTTGTTGTACCAGAGAAATACAGCTGAGAACTTATAAAGGCCATTATGCAATGCTTTTGTGTGATAATGTATCTGCTGTAATGTTAACTGTATTTACCACTTTGAGACTCAGAAAAAAAAATACTTAATGCATCAGAGTTATTCCCTGTGCTTATGCACAGGCATAAATAAAAAAATCACAGGCTGTCATAATACTACAGAAATGCTGAGGAAATGATAATGTAAAATAGTAATGCAGGTCAGAGCTTACCCACCCAAGTTGTCATTCTAGGATAAAAAAGAAACAAAAGCTTGTTGGCAGACTAGATGTCTCATGTTTTTTAATATATCTAGTTTATTTTTTATTCAGGTTTACACGCACAGATTGAAGTACAGGCTTTTCAGGGCATGTATTGCTTTAAATATGTAATACTACTCATATTGCTGTCTAGAATGTTACAGTACCAAATGTGTTTGAAAAGTCCTCTGTCCTATAGCCATGAAGGCAGAGTTTTATTTTTCTGCATTAACATCTGTTTGCATTTGCATTACTACACATCTATTTACTAAAAGACTACACCCTTTGGATATTAATGGTTCAATACCAGTAGGTATTACAGTTTGTTTGTGCTTTCAGTCTGTAGGTGTGCTTTTATGACAGTATTGCAACTCTTGTAGAACAGTTCAAGGCATCTGTAAAAGTTTTTGAAATACATTGTAAAATAATAAAGGATAATATAACTAAACAAAATAAGACTGGTACCTTTTTAAATGTCTAAACAAAGGCTGGTGCCTTTTAAAATGTTTTAACATTCGTGTAAACTATTTGTGGTATTAGAAGTACATCTTTCATTTAAAAGAGGAATGCAAATGTCCAGTCATAGTGAGACCATTGCTGCATATGGCAGTGAGGCTTTTGTCTAAGTTCAGAGCGTGCTTGCATTTTAACACAGTTTTTTATACAAAGTAGGTAAAGCAGAAGCTACTTAAGGACATAATCTCAAATTCATTCTTAGGGAGTTTTTTGGATATTAGTTTCTTTTTAATATCACTGATGCTGCGTAGGTTGTATTTCATTAGGAAAATTGGGAAGAATCAACGTTCCTGAAGAAACTTCTTATATTGGGGCTGGGAAAAAAAGCGCAGGCAACTAATTTTGGGCTTGTACTTTTTCAGAGGTCAGATTAAGGATAAGAAAGCACTTTGACCTAAGGAGATGACAAAAATTATTTCAAAATTGGAGGCTTCCAAAAAGCAGCTAAACTGGGAGACACAGCACTGGTATCGTGTTGCACTAGTTGCAAAGTACTCGATTGCCAAGGAAGCTGCCACATACATCATGGTTTAAGCTCCTGAATTGTCCTAGGGTTATAGCCATGCACAGCATAATAGAGTAATCACTACCATGTTTCTTTATAATAAGAGCAGAGGCAAAATTGAGGCTCATAACTGTGCCCCTGTGAACAGCTGTCAAAGCATTGTAAGCATTCTGTATTATTGTGAAATACAATATACTTTAGCTTTTCCATTCCACAATCACCTATGGCTTACTCTGTACAAAAATAGCTGGTGGTGTTGAGTTTTGCCATAGGCTGTGTAAGCTGGTGGGGAGAGTACTGTGTGGGGCTAATTCAGAAGAAAATACTGAATACCTACGCAGATGCAAACTGGCAGGTGTGAAGTACTTCTGTAACTGCCTGCAATGTAAAATAAAATGTGGGTGCTTCTTTTTGCCTGTGAACAACATTCCAGCTGTCAACTAGCAGAATTTAAAAGTCTAACTAATAAAAATTAGCAGCAGCATTCCTTACTGTACTCATTTTGCAAGATGAACCACATAGTCTTTCCTGTTTTTTCATCTGTATCTAATAATTCTGAGTTCCTAAAACGTGAACAAATATATTTGTTAATGCTAAGGATTGAAAATAAACAAAGATAGAGTTGAGAATGATCTCTCAACCCATCTGAGATTCTGATTGTAATTTTTCAGGAAGAGGTGAAAGCACATTGTTTTGGAAAAAGGGGTGAGTGAGGATGTCACTAGGGACTTCTTCAATGAAGTATGGTGTCTAATTAGCCTCAGGGGGTGAAACTAGCTCTTAGGATTGCTGCTCTAAAGCTCAATATAAAGCTGTTACAAAAAGAAATTGTCCTATTTCTTATAGTTTGCATGGAGCCAGCAATGCTCTCTACTTGTTTAGCCTGCTTTACATGCAGGCTTTGAATAGGGTTGGAAAAGCTGATTTAAATTTGCAGTACTTTGCATGTATATTGGTTAAAACATGGAGAGCAGGATCTAATTCTGTAAGCTGATGCATGTGCCACATCGGAATTTACATTATTTTAAAATTCTTTCATGTTATTGTTCATTTATGTGCATCCTGTACTAGGCTAGTTAGTGACTAGAAGAGTTAGTTTCCCCTGTGCAATAAATTAAGATCTATTAAAGCAGTTAAAGTTGTCTGGAGATATGAAAACATCTCAGAGGAGATGCACACTCACCATATTTTTAAGCCAGTTGCCGTGGTAGAAGTTGTTTATTACGTTAATATCTGATGGCTCCTGTCTGGGTCAAGTTCCCAGCAGCTTGTTCTCTTCATGGCATAAAGATTGCACAGAACTTCGTAGCTAAATAATTTCCAACAGTGTTTAATATTTGCCTGCTGCCTACAGTTCAAGTCAGTTAGCTGGCATGCTTATGCAAGTCTGACCAGCATTTCTAAGGAGCTGAATAAAATCCCAACTGGAACCAAACTTCTTAATGTAAAAAAAAACCCACTCCTGTGCCAGCAGTGTATGGCAGTATGTCTGATTGGCATTAAAAGGGTCTTTTTAAGTAGAGGATATAAAAAAACTGAGTACCACAAAACTACCATATGACAAATGAGTTAAGTATAAATGCTGAGAAGGGTCTATTGCTGGTTTGAAGTAATAGCTTGCTGATTCCTACCCCTGCCAGTTGAGGTTCTTCAGGGAGGTGGGCATGCTAACCCATTGGTGCAGGGAATTGCCCCTCTGGATGTTTGCTGCTGAAAGGAGAGTGAGCTTACCATGGTGAGCTAGCAGGGAGCAGCTGGCACACTGTACACAGCCATCATTCCACAAAAACACTAACATGCATAACACGAGGCTTTTATATAGGTGTTTTTCTACCAGCCTCATTTTACAGACTGCACAACAGTCTGTTTACCCAAATTATTCAGGAATCCTGGGAAATGCAAATTTTTCTGAGCCGTCTCTGATTCTTAGTTCATGCTTCATTACAAAAAGAAGCTGAAGTGCCCTCCATTTTAAGAGTGGCCTTTGCAATCTCTGAACTCTTCTGGTCTGGAGTAAAAAAGTTAAACCTGCCATAAGCAGCTGTCCTTATTGAGTTATGTGCAGGATTGTACCATGAGCCAGGCATGGTTGAAAATCAGCCCTCTTCTCAGAATAGTCCTTACTGATTTGTTGAAGTTCTAGGTACAGAGCTTTTGATAACAAATACCGTTTCTAGTTCATTTCCTAAAAATATTTCACTAACTTCACCTGTGTTATGGTATGTTTCAAAAGCTTTGCTCATTTATATCAGCAGTACTACCTGCATAAGGTATCCAAGGCATTTGCTAACTTCTCCTAAGTTAAAGTGTCAGCCTGATGGTGGTGGTTACGCCCTTTCCAGCAATTAATATCATTAGTAGTTTCTGATCCCTTAACACTTATCTAAGAAGGTGTCATCTCCTTTACAGACTCCACATATATATATATATAATCATATAGCTGATACCAGCATGGTATTTCTTTTCAGTTACTTTTCAAGAGCATGTTTTAGTTACACTTCCTTCCTCCCCCTGGATCACAGGCTGAAAAGGATAGCAGAACTAGAGGTCCCGTTTGTTGCATGACCTGTTGGCAAGCTGCTGTCACTGGGGGAGAATCCAGGGCACGTTGGTTTGTATTAAACTCTGGAGAGCAAGTAGCCAAGCCAGCATGGGGACTCCTTTTCTGGGGAAGGGTGGGAGGGAGGAGAGGGAAGCTGGAAGCTGATTCCCAGAGAAACAAGCTTTCCATTTGCAAAAGGCTGGTCCTCCTGGCCAGAGGAGCA